AATACAAACTAAAATATTTATTAAAAGACCATATAAATATAAAAAAACTAACAACTATACCGGCATTAATTTTGGATTATATCACCCGAATATGATGTAGCTTCCCGTGGGTAAAACAAGCCAGTAGTTTTGAAGCCTATTCAATGAAAACAGACGATAAATTTTGTCTCCTTGTAATATTAATGGTAATAAAAAATATAGTAATCGTGACAACCTTAGCGCAAATACAATTCGCCTGTGGCAATCCTTCCGACAAAATTAGAGTCACACATTAAATAAGGATAATTGTGTTGCGCCCTCTAATTTGAAACTTCCGAAACATTAATACCTACAAAATGTTACTAATGTATGGTGAATCAATTTCGCAAGCAGCCTGCTTATGTCGTCATGTTAATACCCTCAGGTTATTTGACTTACAAGCTGTAATGTTAATTATTTAATTTATGTGTTAAAGCTCATAAGAAACATATGTTTAATTAGTTTAATGCATTACTGTCAATGCATTACAAACGATGACAATACTGAATATTTTACTTATAATTTTAGTAATAAAGGAAAATTATTTACAAGAGGAATAATTTGATTGTTTGTTTGCCCCAAATAGGCTCCGAAACTACTACACCGATTTTAAAAATCATTTTACCTATGGGAAACTACATCATACGTAGTTAACATAGACTATAATTTACACGGGCAAAGTCGAAGGAAATCAGCTAGTTATATATAATCCTAGATTCTTCATTCATTTTCAGGTATCATTCATTCTCAAGAGCTTTCCTCAACATAACGTGATGGTGACTAATTCAAACGCTACAATTAAATTTAGCCTATTTTCCCTTTCTATTTTAACCAAGTTTCATCACTATTTAATATTGAATTTACTTATAAATATTTAAATAAAATGGACATTTAATATTAATGCTTTCATGTGTTGTTATCTTGAGAAAATCGGAGGTACACTGTGAAATCAACTCTTACCCATGTCACACGCTAACACCGCTTATAAATATCGATAGTGTCTGTAATTACACCTCTACATCTACATGGTACATTGTATAAGCTCAGTGCATGCCAATAAATTAATCACACTGCACAGTTTTATTTTTATAACATTGTCCTTACCTATGTCCACGCGTCACATAAATAGTGAACAAACATTCACTTCAATCGGCACCTCGAAATAAATTCAATAATTAATATTAAACATGACCCTACTTCGAGATCGGCAAGATATTCGCTTGATGAAGCTAAGCCATTTGTTTGATAAATGAATAATGGCTGAGATATTAGCGAATAAGAAATAATAAAAGTTGAAGTGCGCAGACCTCAAGGTACGAAAATAATAAAATGGTACTTAACGTGTTTGCTTTGGGTGGAATCTCTATCAAGTACATTAGATATATAACGTTTATGTTTATATATATAACAAAAAGGAATAAAATTAGTCACAATTTAAAAAAGGTTAAGAAATGTCATAAAAGATTTTCACAACGCCAATAGTGAATTATTGTTATAGCAATTTAGTGGTTTAAAATATTGAAAAAATCAAATTATTATACATTTGGCATAAATAAGTGGGTTATATTTTCTATCATTTTGACCTTGTTATAAAACCCTGCATTCTTTGTTATTATAGTGAATAAATAACACGTGATGATAAGAATTATTTACATAGAAAAAATACTATACTTAAAATCCGCTGTCTGGTGTACTATTAAGTAAGATTTAAATGTTTCGCCATCATGGCGATTTAATAACCTGTGATCTTCAAGAAAATGTCATTTTTACTGTACATTTATACAAATACTCTTTGTTTATTTTCATCATCAGTGGCTTTGCTTACTACTTATATTTAAGTGATAGTTATCCCTAGTTTTTTTTTTTTTTTTTTTGTTCTGTATTGTGATAGTTGTATGTTGTAGAATATATCTCAATTGTTTATGAAAAATATAAATTTATAAACTTCTGTAAACTGAACCTCCATATAAGGATGTTAAGTAGCTAAGTCAAGTATGACTGAATTTCAAGTTATCATTTAGTTATTAGACACCATAAATCTTAATATTTTTTATTTTGCATGTAGAACAGGAATATAATCATATCACATCTTATCATAAATATAATATCAAACTAACTTTTGAAAAATTCCAATTTAAAACATAAAATGGAGTCCAAGAACTCAATACGATTACGAGTACCTTAATTGTACTGATAAAAAGATAAAATACCGACGATAATGCAAACATTCATTTGCGTAACTATAGCTTGGTCTGAATGCTCTTACTTAGGACATTACGCAGGGCCATCACGAGAAGCCATTTAATCAAATGCCCATCTCTGATAGCGTTTAGCCCCAGGCTCTAAGAAAGCTGAGGTAGGACCAGTTAGGAATCTCCACTCTCGCGTTCAATTTGTTGTTTTCTTATATATATTTCATAATAATATTATGACACAAATTACAAATTAAGCTTTCGTCATTATATTCTATTTTTGCCAAATTCCACAAGTTTTTCATTTATTTATTTATACGTCAAAGAAAATACTAAACGCAATCAAACTTAAACCATGTGCATACTGACTTGAGAAAAGTGTTTAAATAATCTGTTGCTTTGTGAAAGAAAACTTTTTAACTGTGAACTAATTTTGCGCGGTGGTCATAGATAACCAAAATTTGATTAAAAATATAATATCTATACTAATACGAATATTTTATTTGTTAATTTGTAGGAGGTGATCTTCGAAAATACTGATCCGAAAATGTATGTTTTTTCATCTATGGGAAGCTACATCATACGCGAGTAACAACAGCCATAATTAGTGCGGGAGAAGTTACGAGAAAACAACTTGCATATTATAATCAAATTATGTCGCAACTGGTCACTACGAAACCTGATGTAGTTCACTGTTCATCGTTTACTACAGTCGTGTATATTCGAATGCGGCTGTCGCGTGGTTGCGCGCTATTAGCAGTGTCGGCCGCTTGCTACTAGACAGAGGTACCCTATAAATTACACGAATTATACAGCGTGCCGGGCAATGCGAGCACGTGATATATTGTCGAATGGCTACAACGTAAGCCGCCGCGTCAGCAGACGCGAAATTATACACCCAACCATGTTCGCATCCAACGACGCTAACACCAACACAAATAGCTCGTCGCGTTTTATTTGCGATTGTTATTTCGTAAATGATAGGTCTCTAGCCGTTGCAAGTTATTGCCGCACCCGAACGTTATTCACGAGTGAAAGCGTCGGCCAACGTTTGTTTCGATGACAATCGGTATATGTCTGTGTCCGCGGACGTGGTATTATCATTTATATTGCTTGTAAAAGCTAAAACTAAATACGACTCCGGCATAAAAATAGACGGCACGAGAAAATTTATTAACTAGCATATTAAATAACTATTTACACGGATACCTCTCGTCCTGTGGTCACTGTTAATATAAATTTAAACAGAGCTTTTCTTAGCGCGGCTAAGAATATATCGAGAAATCGATGCGGTTATTAAAAATGACAATAAATTCAACGTATGGCAGCATAATTACCGGGGAGACCTATCGATAATGTCTCGTAAGCGAATACCAAATGCTCCCGAATAAAATAACCACTTTTATCGATCCATTACCAGAGAACAATTGTGATACAATTAAATTATCAATCAATGTTAAATTAAACATTCTCTTTTTTTATTGTAACGTTGGAAGAAATTAATAGCATCCATTAAAGTAACCGGAATATTTTATGATTATAAGCTCAAATATCATATAGTAAAATCTTTCGATTACAATTTGACTTCGTCATTAAGTGTTGTATTGATTCAAATAGAAGACTTGTAGGTATCTGTCATGAAGAGATAGAAACATATAGTACATTATCTATTCCGTGTTCAATTTATTGAACTTTTATCATATACATAAGTACCTGTGCTTTTATTTTTTTTTCTCAACTTCGTTAAGAAGGTTATAATTACAAATATCATTTAGAGACAAGAGTGATTTTGCTCTTGCACTACGATTCGCACGTTCGTAAAAGTCAGATATTAAATTGTATCAGTAACACTAAAGACGTGCTCTTAATCGACCATGACTCACGAGGTATTAAACAATCTGTGGCTGTGGCGGAGTGTATTATGTCTTTAATTGATACCTTCATGCATTAGACACGGTATATTGTGCCACTGTATCGAACCCATTGATTGAATATTAGCTACTGTTTAAAATATGGACTTTTTAATTTAAGTTATAGTTCTTTTAAATTAATCCAAAAGAAATGTATAAAATAAACAAGATACCCGAATAGTAATAAAATTTTTCACAAATATTTAGATACCATATATTGCCAGCTTAAAAAGTTAGTTTATAATTCAAAACTAAATTATTAATTGTTTTATCGTTATATTAAGGCTAGGTATAAAGACAAAGACTGTTAGTGACAGAAACAGAGCGTGAATAAAAGCGAATAGCGTGTGAAACCTATTTTTAATGAATTATTCGTAACTCATTATGATTATTACTAAAGATTTTCATCAAAGCCCACCACTAAAAGTAATTCACACATATTAATTATATTTTCGAAGAAACGAAGAACATACAAATAAGAAAATATATACATCCACTTCATAGCAGTGCCATCTAACAATCGTTGTTAGAAATTCTGTAACATTAACTGATTAGGGGTGGCCGTTTTCATCCCCTATCAAAGCAATCCCTTTTCAATAAGCAACTGTTATAATGCCCTCTATGCGCGTAAAAGAGCAACTTTATCGGTGATGCATATGGATTTTCATTCATCATATTTTAAGGGTAGCTAGTAGATGGCGACGTTAGTTTATTCCAATATAAATTATTAAATTATATATTATAAGTGCCATATATTAAAAGTGATAAGGTTATAAAATATCTATAGAAAAAAATATTTACAACATTAAACAAGAAAGAACTATGATAAGTTTATAGATAGATAATTTTATGTCGATATTTTATTATGTTTATATGCTAACCTTTTTTCAGCCAAGAAGCTTTTAGTGCCAAATCACTTTATGATTCTAAAATTAATCAAATATACATTTTTATCCTATTTATAAATATATATATTTTTAAAAGTTTCTACTACTATGCCTTTCGATCAATAGAGTTTTATGTTTTATACACGCACGTTACAGATATCGTTCCAACGACACTTTTTTTTTATATTATTAGGTACTTATATAAAAAACAATTGCATTACAAAATAGTTAATAAATATACTTTATTTTATATTGTATTACTTTTGTATGATATGACGACATGCTAAACGAAATTTAAACAAATATTTTTATCAAAAATTAAATGAGAGATTTTAAAACAAAACAAATATTAAACGATACTTTTAATGTTTTTTTTTTTAATGATGAAATACGAAACATCAGATTTAGTCACAATATTTGAAGAGCAAGCGACACAACCCATGGCACACGTCGTCACACCTGCCATAACCTGACGCCTACAGTTGCAAAAGGAAAATTTATTTTTAGGAACGACTGTAACAGCAAAATATAAACTTTCTCTTTTAAAATCTTTTTTTTTTTTAATATTGATGACATTGAAATACTTTTATGAACAGTTTAAAACAACGATTTTTAGAAAACGAATTCAGATATTTTCACCTACAATATTAATTCTTAGGTGTTTCTAGCATTACATAGATAGTTCATTAAAAATAACACGTTAAAATTGACAAATATCACGTTATTAATTAATATTATGCACGAGATAAGCACGCTGTTAGTTCCATGTAAACAATGAACAATTTTACAAAAAAAAATTGAAGCTTATTAAGGCAGACAAAAGCTCCGAGCCATTAATAAAACAATATCGTTGCCGATACGTTTACAGCGCCTATTCTCCTTAACGACTTCTAAATAGACGACGTGAACAGATCCCGTCTTCCGAACAAGGTAATGGACGGGATAATTACGCGCAACGACGTTCAACAATAGCGGCGCGAGCTTACTGCTCTATGGCATAATAAGTGCCGGCGTATTTTGATCGGAGTGCAACAAGTAGCGAGATGGCAGGCGGCGTGCGGAGAGAGCCGGTCGCGCGTCGAAGCCGGCGCAGCGGCCGAGCACCGGCCCGTGCGAGAGCGCGCGCGCCCGGCACGCGCCCCACCGCCGCCACGCCGCGCGTACTCACCCGCTCCCGCCACCCGCCACCGCCCGCCGCCGCCTGCGCGCGCGCGCTACTTAGCATCGGGGGTGCGCGCCACCTCCGCCAATCCACCGGCGATCTCCGCGCTGCACGCACGACACGTGCTCTCTCGATACACTTGACAAGTTAACTCTCGCGATGCCGATGGCAACTTTACACGCTTATCAAAATCTTGGTGTCGATCAAAAATTGACACACCTGCAGACTTCTACACCTCGCAGACTCGCACCAGCACCAGTTGATCCTAACCGGTGCAAGAAGAGATCATACCTTCACCAGCCGTATCCAACTCAGCCGGCTTCCGTAGCACGCAGAAATGCTAGGGAACGGAATAGAGTAAAGCAAGTCAACAACGGATTTGCAGCACTTCGTCAGCATATTCCATCGGCAGTTTCAGCAGCTCTCGCTGGAGGTAGAGGATCTTCAAGGAAATTGAGTAAAGTGGATACTTTGAGACTTGCAGTGGAATACATCAAGAGTCTGAAACGGTTACTTGAAGAAAGTGAAGAAGGATGTCCCGAGACCCAAATGACCTTAGGATTAACCACAGATGGCCCTCAAACACCTCCAATGTCTGAAGAATCGCACTCACCTGCTCCCTCTTTAATATCCGAAAGTTCAGTAGGACCCAGTTCGCACGATGCTTATGACTCATATGAGCCGATGAGTCCTGAAGATGAAGAACTCCTTGACGTTATTTCATGGTGGCAGCAACAATGAACGAAGGTGAGGATACATGTTTGTTTTATATATTTTCAATGTCACAATCTTATTTTAGACTTCAGATAAATTTATGAATGAAACCTTCAAGTAGATATATTTGTTTTGTGGTGATAATCTATGAAACTTTGATAAAACCTTATCAAAATGTTTACATTTGTCGCGACGTTTTTAAATATTAGTTCCTAAGTATACATATCCAAATTATAACAAGAATTAGGTAAATTTTCCTTCATGTAGAATTCATCCAAACTTTTAAGATATTTTTTTGGAGTAGTATCAGGTAGTATCAAATATTTTTTTATCTTATACGTCACGGTCTCCCCCGTCTAATACTCTTTTATATTGCACAATTTGAATGAAGGATCTTTTATCCTGCAGGCAAAAAGTAAACACATAACTACTATTATGGTTGCGCATTGAACCAACGGATAGACTTTATCTGCTCATTGTTAAATTAGAAGGACACAATAGCTGTCCCCAACAAAAGCGAATCTTAAAATATATGACGGCAAAAAGGATCTCGATGGAGCTTTTTTAATCACAGACAAGGCAATTATTTTCATAGGCGTTATAAAATAGGAGAACCCGCATTTCTTATTAACGTGAATGACCCAAGAACAATTATTATTCTAACAATATTGTGGTTAGCCCCGCATGTCTAGAAAGAAAATTACGCATAAAAGGGCTATTCTAATAACAAGCTATATCAGTCTCTATTATTTTAAGTGGAAACAGGTTTTGTTTTCGCATGTGTCTATGGGTATTAAAAATATCCGGTCGAAAGATATCGAGACACCATATGGTCAAATTTGATGGTTTTCGCACGCCAGTAGCCGCGTAAGCATAACTAAAACGTTAAATAGATTTTTTCGACCCAATACCTGCATCTAAATTAATTTTGCCGGAAGACGAAATCTCAAGAGGAAATATAAGGGCGGTGAGCGTAGCACACGTGTTACAATATTTGCTAAGCTCTGAGCAAACATCTGTTGATATAACTTCATACATAGACAGGATAGGCATCGTAATTTACAACAGTATACTTGTTATTTTTCCTCATATTATTTATCAAAGTTCGAATGAACTTCAGTCATTCACAAATCAACTTTCAATATTTGTTCGTAATTAAGATTTTTCTTTTTTCCCAGGAGCTGTGCATTACGGTAATCAAAGTGCGGCCATTGAGCAACTTGTGAAAAAAAAACAAGTATTCCTTGAGAGGAACTTGAACGGCGGACCGCGATGGACTCCGAGAGAACCTCTAATTAAGCGCAATCAGTATATTCCTAATGAGAGGAGATAATGGTGGACTATAACGACCTCATCGATGCATTCCGTCGACCGAACACCGAACGAAAATCCTTAAACCGCATTTCATACGTGGATGAAATAGCAAACAAAGACTGAAATGAACATTTGTTCCACAAATGCATTTAATTACATTTTAAGTGATTCCACACGCTGTGCCTTATTTTAGCCTTGCGTAGATACTATCACTTCCAGTTAGGTATCTAGTATTAAATAGTTTATAATTGTTAACTAGTCACTAGTCATAAGTATATTTTTAGAATGTTGTAAATTATAGTAAGACTTGTTTATTTGAGACCGTTACCTATGTTCGGGTAAGGATTTGAATAGTTCAACGATTTTTTAAAATATAATTTTTAAAATCTTGAGACAAAGACTTGTAATGTACATATATACACATAATGTAGCACCCTAAGACAGATTCCTAATATTATAAGATTTTATTGATATAGTAACTGCGTTATTAAAAGGACAGCTTGCATTATCAATATAAGAGTTGCCCTGTAAATAAAGTAATTATGAATATAGTCTACACTTTTATTTACCAATTTTTAGAATTTGACTATTATAAATGAATACCGAGTATTGAGTATTATGTAAGAAAAAACCCTGACTGAAATAAAAAAGCTTTGAAAACAATACTTGTGGAATTAGGCAGGACTATAACAAAAAGTATGTGCAACTTTATGGGTGATTTGTGGATACAAGAAATGTCACTATAATTAATTCAGTAGACTAAGACCAAAACTTCAAAACTGAAAAAATTAAAGTGTAAAAAAAACTTGGCAGAAGACAATAAAAAAAAAACTATAGACACTAAAAGCTATATTTTCAAGATTTCTCTGCTTAAGCTACACCTTTTTACCCTTCAGTTGGTAATCTTTGTAATGTCATCTTAATTCAATATGCAGCGAAAGTAACTCTTACTTTCATGAATGTTAATGAAAACTTACATTTGGACGGAAAGAAATAGTCAAGGGTAGACTAAAATTGTTCATATTATTTGAAAGAAATGATGAATAAAAAATATAGAAAGTACCTGATATTATTGTTGTGATTATTGATTAATGCATTATAAAACATTGATAGACTAATGTTAAAATGAGATGCAAAGCTAGTATGAATATTGGAAAACATGAAGCTCCACAATCACCCATAACAAAAAATCATATTACGACTTACGATTTACAAAGATCTATATAAAATCAACCATAACATTGTGACTCACACATTCGTTTCAAAATGTCGCCATCTGCGAGGTACCGGATTCGATTCCGTTAATGTAGAAAATAAACATATATACATTATCTTGGTATTATTATTATCTGTATGTTGTGTAGCTTCTTTGTTTTTAATTCCATAATAAAAGAGCAAAAATCTCCTTACTTTTGAGATCTAAGCAATGTATGTTATGATGTCCAATTTTATTGAAAAGGAAAATATATTGATTTCTAAATTCTTGAGGCTGGAAACAAATATGGTGAGGCCTTGCACATGAAAACACATGTTGTTTAAGCTTCACGACCACGAAGGTTATCATTACAAAAATATAAACCAACTTCATTTATTTCAATCTACCTACCTACTTCATTGCACTCATTGCATACTTGTATTGAACAGCCAAAGTTTACAAAATAATATAACACAACTAGTACAATTCGCTATTGGTATTTAAATTAAGAAAATGTTGCATATTAACTATAATGTTTATACACTTTTGTTAAAAATAGTAAAGTACACACAGGACGTAGCAAAATTAAAATAATAAAAAGGTTTTCACACGTGCCTCAACTCATGTTACATTTCGCGACTGATATATAACACATAAAACTCGGCAAGGGCTACATGTATTTAATTTAAAAAAGACAATCCGTTGCAACTGGATCAAGTTCAACCACGCCCATCAAAATCAAATCGCAATAATAATTTTCGTTAAAGAAAGGGAAGCTCGGGCCATTATGGGTGGATATTTCCGTCGGGGGCTAACTAATTGTTGAAACTTGCTCTAGACAAACTAGATGTCGAGGAAACTGAACACCTGTGGATTCGCGAATTGTTTTGTCGCTCACCAGTCTCGTTAATTCCTTCATATTAATTGTCGGGTACTATGCGATGCATCCGTTTGCAACCAAATTGCACGTCATTATGTTGTCCATCTAATTGAGTGGATTAGTCGACTGTACCGTTTGGATCTTCTTAGCTTTTTTTTGTTCAATATCTCGCCTCTAAATCTTGGATTTCTTCTATTTTTCCACGTTAAGCTATAATCATCAGCATTAAACTGACAAATAGATATTACATACAAAATTCATGAAAAAAAACCATATCGTCGACATATTATGCTATGTAATGCATTTGAATTTTGATTATAGTTACGATTCAAAATGATTGACGATGTTTATGCTTTAATAGTAGATATTAATATACGTTCTTTTTTTCTTTAGAAAACCAAACAATCTTGTAGAAATTGTAAATTACACTTTTAGTTCATTAAAATTTTCCAAGACAACTCTTTGATCTTTGACCCAACTACAATCGGAAATCAAGATATTTCAATCGTAATGGCGCTGAGGCATCGTCGTGAGGACTCGGCTCCGTTCGTGCGACGAGGCACGCGACCGGCGCGCGCAGCTGCGCCGTGACCACTTGTGCAGAACTGATTGTTTATACCAAATTCACCTGTAACACTCGATTTTAAATTATTCGGGATAGCGGCTCTTTTGATATCATTGCATTATTATAACCCAAATTCTTTTATCAAAGACATTTAATAACCGACACCTTTCAAGAGCCTTCATCAATATTAAATTCTCATTAGAAGAATTCTATTTAATAATAAATATATTTTTACTTTCTATAATATATCACGAGCTCTTAAAGGGACTTAATCCTATACAGGTACACGATAATCTGATTACATTATTTTGTTTAATCATCACCATTGACTTGTTGAAATAAAACTATAATTCAATTTGATGTCTTTATTTAACGAACCCTTATTTGACTGACATAAATTTAATTAATACATTCCTACTTACGTCAATCCAATTGACAAAAATAGTATACGTAAGCTATTATTTCGATCTAAATAAAACAGATTAAAAATTTTAACACTTTGAGTACAGGTTACCTATAAAATGTCAGTGTCAGGACCGGTTGCACCGGGACATGGTCTTTTACTTTTATAATTGCTGCGATCTATATAAGACTTCTTATGCTCTATCTACTGTATTAATACATCGACGAAGGAAAGGACATTTAATTTTTTTGTATCATTAATATGTAAACAGTTTTATATAAACTAGAAAAGTATCTTCACTTATAAGGCAAAATGTGGGGTTTAAGCGTCATTTTATAATGTTTACTCGAAATTAAAAATAAAAATAAACTGTCATAATAAGTCACCAGTATGTATACGGATATATACGTCACACTTAAAATAGCCCAAAAGCCTTAATCGACATAATTCATCTTTCACTCGTTAATTTTTACATAGATAATCATTATTTAATTTGGCTTCAAATGTTTCAGTTTCTTACAAACTTTTTTTTATTTGATATAGATATTTATGTTGTGGAATTAATGTAATCTTATTTCAACTACCTACTTAAGTCAGATAAACGTATATTCCTAACCATTGTTAAAATGATACAAAATAATAATAAAAATAAAGATTCATATCTATTTTATCAATCAAAGTCGTATTAGTCGTTAAATAAAAGACAATGAAATCGTGCCCATAAAAAAATTCAGGCGACAGAAAATGGTTAGGGATCTTGCGCTAACTAGTGGAAATCTCACAAACATGGGAAACATATCCCTTATAAATATACCAATTTCATAAAAAACAAAGGTGATTGGAAATCCGAAACAATGATTTTACGTGCCGACGATGTGGTGAGCGTTGTCCTTGGCCGCCAGTGTACAGTTGCCGCCAATAAACGTGTGACCTAAATCCCTTGAGCAAACACAATGCTATTTTTGAATACCAAACAAGTTCAAGTGTAGTAAAGTATAAAAAAAATGTAGGGCAATTTGAATACTGCATAAAAATATATTTTATTAAGTAAAATATCAAGACGTTTTCATTTGTAAACATTATCTCATGTCGTGTAATATCTACTCTGTGGATAGTTTGTTTTAAAAGTTACAAAAATGCTTTAGCTTTGGATTAAAACATGCCAAAAAAAGTTGCTAGAAATATTTGTACGTAGACTTTGTTTTTACTACAAAGCACATAAACAGGATTATTTTGGAAAACTGATTACGTAAAAATATTTTTCATTTAAATGCCTATCAGAAACAGATAATTTATATAGTAACAATAACTATAGAAATGGAGAAAACCTATTGGGACATACGTACAGAAATTATAGTGCTGGACATTTAAATAACCTAACCTAACCTAACACTAGCTAAAATATTCATGAATACCAACAAACTAACAACATAGTACCTAAAATTCTATGTATATAAATTTAAAGCTTAATTTAATAAAGTAATAATGTTTATCTGATAAAAATATCTATTATACAAAACCGACTCATGTGCCTTAAATATGACTTCATTACTTTTCTATAAGATAAATAGATTTTTGTATGGTAATTATTAAAATAATATAACCAAAAAATATGAACACGCAAATAAAGAACAACTAGGTGGGTTTTTTATTATATTTAACTCAAACATTATAAATATAGTTGACAGTAACGTTATAATTCAAAGCAACTTATCTACACAGCGTTTATAAAGAATAAAATTGGAAATGTTGACATTGACCAAAAATACCATCGTACGTTCTACTCTTTAACTATTCAATTAATCAGGCGTAGTGACGTAATAAATTATGGGCGCGTAATAAAACTTCGTAATGACCTTTAATGAATTGGGACTCAGTAGCAGGTAGTCAAATACGTCACAGAAAAATTCAAACTATTTTCCGACGGGTCATAAAAATTACAATTATACCGAAATAGAATAGAAATAAAAAGGTGTGTCAAAAAGATGCTCTTAAAGCTGTACTCTTAATGACCTGACCCAAATAGTTGCTACTCGAATTCTCCCTTTTTTGTGTAATGCCGCCTCTTTATCTATTCACAATCTAAAACTTTAAGCAAAAAATGTCAGCGAACCTACAATAAAAAACGCATTTCAGTATTATTTAAATAACTAACATACACTGACCCACCAAAACTTATAATAAATACTTATATTTTTCAAACAGATATTTACAAAAAAAAAATCGGTAGGTAAACATAAAAGTCATGAATTAATTAACTAACTTCGCCCGATCGCTAAATCTAAAGAAATAAGTTTCAACTCTTAAAAAGCTCATAAATGTAATATTGCAAACTCCGCCTATTTCATTGTGTTTGCGTGTCATCGGCTTCGCTCAAAGGGATGTCATGTCGTGCTATTCAAATAATTAGGGTCGATACAACCACTGACTCCCAGTGAATTAACCGCATAT